ACATCCATTTGGTTCCATGATGTGTTTAGTTTTTGACGGATACTTTATTCTTGTTATTTTGTTCGTCCGACTTGTTTGTAATTTTAGAGAAACGCAGAGACTAATTTATGGCAACACAAAATAAACATGGGAGCGGTGGAGATGAGGAGGTGTCGGCGTTCTGGCGATTTACTCGGAAGGCTTCAGTAGAAGCTGCTGGGAGTCCCAGCAGCTTCTACTGAAGCCAGTCCCCACCAACCGGGGACTTCCGGCCGGGGATTTTGGGCGGCAGTATACGCCGTGAAGTTGTTTACGGCCTGCCAGTAAACCCAAAGCAGAAGAAGAAGAAGTGACGTCAGCGGCTTCATTTGCCTAATCCACCCGCAGGGATTTATTCCGGTGTGAACGCGATCTGTACTTAGTTCATCAGAACTAAAGAGTTCTGATGAACTAAGTTCTCATGAAACTTTGTGGGAAAAGTACTGCGGTGTGAATGCGCCTTATCAGAGCTTTTATTCTGGAAACAGCTGATTGGTGCGGCCAAAAATGGCTTTATAAGAGCAGTAATACTGAACCAGAACAGTGAAGTTGTGAGCCTTAAAACCAAAGCAATGAGCGGACGGACGCCAAAGCTCCTTTGAGGGGAAACACAGAGTCACAATGCAATGTATTTGTATCCATTGTTATGATACAAATATTGATTAGAGCTGCAGATGATGCACAATTTCAACTCAAAAAGTATTTTCACAAACCCACAAGCCATCTGTCATGCTTGACAAACTCCCCAACTGTCCCCCAAGTGCTACAAGAAAGTTATCATGACTTATATTAATTAAATAAAACAAGTCTCAGCTCAAAAAACCTAAATATATTATTAATGTCTTTGCTGGCAACTCTGTCATTGCTTTGGTGTAATTTTAAAATAGCTCTAGCATACAAAAAGAAAACCTGAAAGAACAAATAAAAGTAATTTAAAGTTCAGCTCATGCCTTCATAACGCATCTGATTAATTAATCCCATTGATTCATTATATTGAAAAATTGCGTCGTGGACAGTTTTGGCCTGAGGTTTGCATCATGCGCGCAGGCCTCGGTCAGGAGTTATTTCCTGCTTCTAATCTGAGCTAAACCTTCTGCTGGATTACTCAGATAATCACACCTGAACCCCTCCAATCCCGCAGAACCAGGGGTTCAAAGAACAACATGGAACCCAGGAGAGTTAATGGTACCATCCTCCTCCTACACTGCTGCTAACACTGTTTTTCTTTCACTCCCTTCACTCTCCCGCCATCTCCATCTTTCTTTTCACAAATGAAGGAAGTGTGGCACGCACAGAGAGCGACGCATAAAGTTGGGGGTCTAATTTTGGCAGGCAAGACTTTTTCCCCTTACCCTGTGTTTATTCTGGCTCTATTAAAACATCTCCAAGGAGGGGAGGAGAGGAAGGGAAGGGGGAATATGGAGGGAGGAGAAAAAGCACAAAATAGAGGCGATGCACTGATCTTTTTCTTTTTTACCTAGAATTGTGGAATTCTGATGAACTTCGTATAAGAAAATAAACTGCTTTATAAATATGACACTTGGATTTGCGTCACAAAAAGGAGAACTTGAGACTTTGGTGAGAATTTAGAGGAACAGCTTATATAAAAGGAACAGCTAACGCCCCATAAAACCACAAAGTGCCACTTTTACAATTATTTCTTTTATGGATTCAACAAATGAGGTATAACGTGTTAAACTGCGATCTTAAGAGGTGTTTGTATAAATATCTAGTTACCTTTAGACTGAGCCAGGAAAAAATGTTTCTTGGTTTTTATCATGAGCTAAGCTAACCTGCTGCTGGTCTTAGCTACGTATATATATTATTTGCAAATTATTTAAAAGGAAAAATCCACTGTGTCATTTTGACAGTCCAAGAGCTGAAATATTTTGATTTAAATGCGCGCACACACACACACACACACACACACACACACACACACACACACACACACACACACACACACACACACACACACACACACACACACACACACACACACACACTGTATACTTAAGCCCAGCGTAGAGGATGGAAATCAGACCGAAGCAAAGACTACCCAGGGGACATGTTGTTCATGTTAAGTTCAGCTTCAACAAGGTGGGCGGCAAAAAATCTTCACTTAAGTTTGTAAGTAATATTTGTGGCTAATTTGCCCCCAAGAAAATGGAAGCCACTGAGCTCTCTGTTGAACACAGACAAAATGGGAGAGAGTGCAAGTTACAAAAGTATATTTCACTTGAACTGACAAGCTTTTGGACCAGATGTCTTTCCAAAAACTTCAGACCAGACGAGAAAGACCAGAAGCCGTGACGTTTGAACAGCTGCGGCATGAGGTAAGCGCTTGAAGGTCATCACATGTCATCATTATGTGACCTTGTCTTATTGACGGCCTGCCACCTTACTTTACAGGTAATAAGTTTGCCGTGGCACTAATGATGAGCAGCAGCAATAATCAGCCCACCACCACCGCAGCTCGGCAGCTGTCAAAGGAGGCCCCTGTCCGTTTAAATGAAGTCTGTAATGAGACTCACGGTTGCATGCTAGTCTTCAGCTCAACACTTCCCTTCACAAGGTTGCAGGGAAAAAAACACAAGGTGAACCTAATTTATTCCAACTTGCAAAGTGTAATGTAGCGTATCGTGTGGGAAAGCTGTACCTCAATGAGTTGGAATCCTTGAGATGTTTAGATTATAGGAGTCCTAAAAACGTAATTCCCTCAGAAGGAAAATCAGACAAAGTATTTGCCTTGCATCATCATCATGTGGATTTTCATGGAACTAATTCCAATTAAGGAATATAACTGAAAAGTCTTTGAAGACATTTATACATTTTTATAGCCTGGAAATTAACTTAAAATGCATCATGATCATTTGGCAAGAACAAAACCCTTAGTGGTTTCAAAAAAGGATTTGCTTCTCTTTATCAGATTGCGGCAAAATCATTTTTCTGTTGTGAGAAATTGGATGATCCTCATGATCATCATGCCAGCCTCGCATTGTCATCCTCAAAAACTCTTGTAATTTAGCCAAAAACTCATCCTCCCATTTTCTTATCAATATTTGTTTCCAATTTAGTTTATTTCTGGTGTTGTGACAGTGTCCAAAAATCTAAAACATGTAAACATAGGAATGGTAGAAACAGATGTTTAAAACGGAGCATGAGTTCGTGCTCCTCAAATGTGTGTGTATGTGTGTACTGTGTAGTCATCTCACTGTGAGAGTGGATTTAGTAAGTGTCTGATATCCACTATGTGCCAGCAGTTTTGATGGAACATGGCAGCAAGCCTTACCATAATGTCATTTGGGAAAATCATCCAGCTCAACTCCTTTGATCCTGTGAGAATCAAACGAGCAGGGAAAGTTCGAAGTGTGTTCAACAGACTCAAAATATTTTTTTATTTGGGCAGGAGTTGCACTTTTGCCAAGAACATGATAATATTAAAGTGGAAAGCACTTATGGATAATTATTTAAAACATTTTTGTATCATTTGGTTTCATTTGCTACCCTCCTTACCCTATTTAATTTGATGTGCATGTAAAGAGATTAGGACTCTGGTTGGTTTCACTGTACATTCAAACAGCTTGCAGCTAATTAGGCGAATATAAAAAGTTATATAGAAAAGAAACCACAAAGAGAGACAGATGTGCGTCATTTTTCTATACTGCTCATTTCAGGCCGCAATACAGAGGGAGACTTAGCTCAGTAGACAAAAGACTTTCACTCTTAATTATAATAACTTCATTATTGCTCTGGAGGCAGATGAGTATCACATTATTGCCCAATGAGAAATGAATTAAAAATGTTTACATTTTAAATAATATCCTATTTACTGATTAGTCTTCTAAAAATCAAATAACACAGCCTAACCCAAGTTAGCTAGTTTCTCGAATACCACAAGCAGTATAGAAACGAAGGACGGGTAGAAGGGAAAAACACCCAAAGAAATAATAAAAATAAATACATACTTTTCTTACATGTGTGTGTTGGCACTAGGTGTTTACTCTATGCTTATGGGATTCATTTACATTTAAAACAGCAAATATATGCACAAATGACTATTTTTCAAGTCCCCCGAAAATGCCCGGTTTTTTCTCTCAAACAGAGTTGGCAAAAGTTACCTCCAAACTATTTGTTTTCATCTACTACACTGACCTGAGTCGGTGTGTTTCGGATGTCAACATCTGCTTTGTTCTGCTCCCGCCCAACAGTCCTCATGGTCCACATACCGACTGTGGCCCACGGCTAAGTGTGCGCAGTCCACATTCAAATGTGAACCATGTGAGCTGAGATGGTTGGGCGGAAACAGCAGCATACAACATCAGGCATTTGGGATTTAAAAGGCGCATATTAAATATTCATTTAGCCACACTGAGAACTGCACCAATAAAATTGAAAATTACAGACCAAGCAGTGTTATAATGTCAGTGAGTCCTCAATAAAAAGGTCCTTCTGAGTACTTTTAGGCTGGCTCTATATATCAAAGGAGGCCATGCATTGCCATGAGAAGTACAAGATAGAAACACAATGCAGCATTTTCCTCGTTTCAGACAGTATCAGCAGCCAGTATGTCAGCAAACAGTGGGAATGTTGGTGTACGCTCCTTAATGAATTCACTGAACTGTAACTTTGTCTTTAGTTTATCTATAAAGTCTGTAATTACATTTGTTTCTATTATGGACATTATCGGAAAACAGGTCCACACCTGATTATCAGAACAGATCGCAAATCAAATGTAGTTTAGGTCTTCTTCTGCCTTTATGTGGTCCAGGACCACCTATAACAACATTTGCAAACTTCAAGCTCAGATTTTTACCCCCATCAATAATACAACATAGTTGCAAGCCATGAATAAGTATGCAAATTGTAAAATGTATGCATTTGCAATGTCCATTTATAAGATTATAGTACTCTAAGAACAGCATGAATAGAGTGCCAGAGAGAAGATAGAGAACTAAAAGACGGATAGGAAAAAGATAAACTTACGTTGGCCTTCCTGGCAGGAGAGTAGGGAGTGGATCTGGAAAAGGAGACAAGGGGATTTTTTTTACAAGAGGATAAACAATATTGCTCCAAGATCGTTCTCTGCACAAGCTGCCAGCTACAAGCAAGAATAGGTTGAGAGGAGTGTTACTGAAAGGAGCCAGATCTCTAAAAGGAAAAGATGAGTAGGAAAACATTTCTTGTTTGACACAGTAAGGGTGTACAACCTGATTGTGAGATCTGCCTGCCAACAAGCTTGTAAATGCTTGGCAGAAACTGCTCCCTGCTCTTACCAAATTTGACAAAGAGCACGCCTGTCGTGGAGACGGTCCCCTGTGTGTTGGTGGCCATGCACTGGAAGTAGCCCGTGTCAGTAGTGTCCAGATTGCGAATGCGGAGGCGTGATCCGTACGGCGTGGATCGATACGAGATCCGTCGAGGCTCCTGCACCACCGGGGCATCGTTTTTCAGCCAGCGCACGACGGGCGGTGGGTTGCCGGACACACGGCAGATAAGCTCGGCTGTGTGGCCCAGAGAGGTGGTGATGTTGTTCATGGGAGCTTCAAGGCGGATGAAGAAGGACCCTGGAAGACAGAGGAGAAAGGTGTTGAAAGAGAAGAATAAGAAAAATGATATATAAGAGTCAAAAATGGATAGGGAGACATTGTACAAGGCACTGTAGAAGGCCAAGAACTAACTAGAGAATGCAATTCCTGAAGTAATTGCTAGTGGGAATGCTTTATGCTGAAAAGCTGACGCTGAACTGCTATGCTGAAATGTAATGTGTAAGAAGAAAGTGAAGAATTTAGATTCAAATGATATATGAACACTGGGGGCTTGAATGTGTGATAAGAGAATAAAAGAAAGTAAAAAGGCTTGGAAAAGCAGCAGAATATTTTAACTGCAAACTCTTGAACTAACTTGATGGCCAGTGATCTGTCGCCATGGCAACGGCATTTGATGAAACCCCATAATACGCTTAAATGTGTGAATGGCTGCATCTTTACCAAACCTGTGAAGGTTTGGGCCGTTAGCCATCATCTGAAGTCTCGTGCTGTTTTGACAATTTTCATATGAGTTACGACAACATTGTGTTTTATGGCGAGGGATGCGTTTCCATGGAAACGGCATATGATGACACCCAATAATTGACATATAGCCATTGAGGGCCGGACCATTAACCATTATCTGAAGTCTGGTGCTGTTTTGACCATTTTATTCATTTATGGAGTTTCTCCATTGACTTCCATGTTAAAAATGGGATGAATTATGGGATATATATCTGGAATTATGAAAGTTAAGAATGTGAAAAGTAATAGCCATCGATTCCCGATCGAGCTGAACGTTTTGATGTTTCTGTGATGTGGAATGTGGGAGCAGAAGAGGGACAAAATAACCCGGCGGAATAATAATAATAAAGAATTAGTCCGTAGAAGAACAAGTAGTTGGAATGCTGTATCTGCATTCCCACTAAATTACATCAACCAAACAACACTTACTGCAATCAATTAGTCAGATAATTAAAAATTACAACATACAGGCAAAAAAACTCGGCACCTATTTAAAGCCTGATTTTTTATGTTATGATGCAGTTGGACACCTGATTTCACTTTTCATTAAGGCTTATCCTGCAAAAGTGTTCTTCCCGGCTTTTGAGAAGATAAGTAAAAATAACCTTGAGGAGTGAACACATGAGGCTGTCAGAACTCAGTGTTTTGAGTAAAGATGGTGTTGGACAAGAGAAATCAAAACAGCCTTGTATGTTTATCTACAAAACCAGATTTTTCCTGAAGGTGGTCAGGAAAAAACAACCTTGGGGGGCCACCTAAGAGTTTAATGTGTTGGAAAAACCTTGGTGTTAATGTCTTAAAAAAACTTCTGGAAAGTTTCCTCAACCCCAAAACCCATCTTAGGTATGCAGAAATGCTCTTGGTTACACACTCAGCCAAAACAAACAAAGGAGGAAAACACATTCTGGGGAATCTCAAATACTAGTCTGACAAAATTCAATCTGTGTGAATGGAGAGGTTGAGAAGAGGTACGCACTTGTATAGGCAAGATACCCATGCATATCAATGTTCAATAACCCGTGAAAATTCATTAGTCAGGGCATTTATGTAATAGCCAACACCACTTGTTTTCCACAAATGAAAATATATAACATCCGGATTTATTTATTTTTTCAAGAAATCTGTTTCGTCTCGAAGTTGGAGGTCGAGATTAGTTGGAAGATTAACAACTTAGTCTACAAAAAAATGTCAGAAGCCAGGTCGCCAACAAGAGTTTTCACTACAAGGTTAACACAGTCTTTTGTGAATTTGCTCCATGTCTTGCTCTCGATTTTAAAGGCCACATGTCTTGGCCATTTCTACTGATCATAATTCCATTTTTGAGGTTGACTAGAATAGATTTACATTGTTCAATTTTCCAAAATCACATTAGTTTCTCATACAGCATCTCTGTGTAGTATGTGTATTCACTCTCTGTCCTACACGCCTTGTTGGAGCTCCTGGAGCTCCGCGGATTGGTCCATTTTGAACATTTGGTCCATTTGGATGTAGTGACGTCAATATGCCCCGGAAGAAAAAAATGGAAAAATAAAAATATACAACGAGGCGTTCTGGGGCAGCATGGACATGTATTTTCTGTGTCAGAGTTTTACTTGCTACAGGGTGTACTTTGAGGGTTTGTGACTTTGCAGACCGTTTACATGCAGAAAAAGCTACATAACACACAAGGGGACGGGTAATAACCCAGGGCTCAACGCTAACTTTTAAAAGTGGTTGCCAGGCTGGCAACCAGGCCTCAGCTTTTGGTTGCCAAAACTGAAAATACGGTTGCCATTTTTAGTCACCTTATATTTAAAATAATGAAGATACTATACAGTTATACATCAACTTAATAATGAACATGTGACACAAAAGAATGTTCAAATGCTTTACAATAAGTAATTAACACAATTAGTTGAAACTTAATTGGTAGGAAACTTGTCCGCCCTCAATTGCTGGTATACAAAATACCAGTAGTGCAGCTGTTGTCATGTTCTTCACGGATCCCTCACAAATGAATTGAGCAAGTCACTAGTTTCTTGATCATCCGTTGTCTTCCTTTCAAATGTGGGTTTTCTTGACCTTTGTGCTGACCCCCACCATAGAACGTGCATCGCTTTCTGGCTCAGTAATCACACTAATGCATGTGCAACTTAAGTATCAGGTTCCGACTGGTCACAACAATAATTAAATATCACTCTTAATGCAACAAATAATTAACATTTATCTATTTTGGGATGCACATCTTGCTGTTTGTTGTCCTTATTTCTTTATGTTAAAAACTGGTTGCAAAGGCCAAAAAGCGGTTGACATTTTTTCTGAATGGTTGCCAATGGCAACCTGGCAACCGTTACTGTCGAGCCCTGGTTAATTAAAACGTTTTTATAATGTTTTTAATGCTTATTCTTAGATGACCCCAAAGTGACAAATAATACACTGTCTCTGCTGTGTTAAGTGTTGTAAAGATTAATCAGTTATTTTTCTGGGTTACTTCCTGTAGGTGAATCCCAGTAAAAGCAAGCAGGGCAGTAAGGCTGCTGAAGGCTACCACAAGAGGGAGCTGCTCAAACCTACTACCTTCTTCAACCACAGCTTTGAACTGCCCTACAGTAACCCCTACTTTGAGCCAACACTCAACTCTCCTCTTCAGGACAGGAGGAGGGTGAAACATGAGAGCCTGGACGACCTGCAGGCCTCCACATACTTTGGTCCGACTACGGTCTCTGAGAGCATCAGCAGCAGGAAGCACAGGAACAAAGCAGGGAAGCAGCCGTCGTGGCCCGTGAAGAGCCTCAGTCTCAACACAGAAGAGGGGCCTCCAGAACCTGAGAGATCCTTTCTGAACAGCAAACCACTCAAAGAAAACCATCATCGCAATGTCACCATCCGAAGAACTGACAATGATCAGCATTTTCAGAGCCCAAAAGAAAAGGTGGTAGTTTCTCCTTCTGGCTTTGCAAAGAAAAGTGAAGGAATAAAAAGCAAGGATGTAGCACTGGTGGCGAGTGGGCCGGTGGGTTTGGAGAAAAGAGAAGCAGCCAAAAGGTTCAGGGGCAAAAACAGTCCTTCCTTTCAGGGAGTGGAAAGCTCCTCTAGTGTTGGGACTCAAACAGAGCAGGCTGAGAAGAAGAAGGGGAAGGAATACCCAGCGAAGTACAGTGACAGAGAAAGACACGCCTTCCAACATTGTGAGGAGGACTCTGAGATGGTCAGCGATGACATAAGCGACATTTTCCGTTTTCTGGATGATATGAGTGTTTGTGACTCATTGGGAGTTGTTCAATCGTCCTGCTACAACAGTAATGGTTCCCTCTCTCAGGTAACGCTGAAGTCTGAAGGTGAGAGCTCCCCTGAACGCAACACGGTCAAACTAGCCAAGTCCAAGCTAGACCGCCTCTTCCATTCGCTTGAAAACACAGACGATGAGCTAAAATCCAGCGTGTGCAAGCTGGCCATGAGGATCGGAGAAATTGAAAAGAAGCTGGAGTCTCTGTCGGGGGTCCGCAGTGAGATCTCCCAGGTGCTCACCAAGCTCAACAAGCTGGACGAGAAGATCCAGGAGCCTGAGGCCAACGGGAGGCACGGGGGGGCGCCGTCAACATCTGGATCCAATGCCACCCCGGACAAGTTGCACCCCAACCCTCATCCACATCCCGACATCACGCTCTCACCTCGTGTTTTCCAGTGCCACACCACCGGTCACAACGTTAAAGTGGACAATAGCCCCTCAGCCGAGTGGGGCTGCTCCGATGGGAACAGTTATAGCCTCAGGGTCAAAGCTCTGAGGAAGAGCATGTTCACCAGGAGGTCGTCCCACTCCCTCAACGAGGAGAACAGTGCAACCGAGTCAAAGGTCGCCAGCATAACCAACTCTCCCCGGGACTGGAGGACAGTGTCTTACTCCTGCCACCCTGGAGACGATGGCAAGGACAGACAGCGGAAAGGAAAAGAGGTAGGACTGTTTTGAAATTAACTTTTAAATGGCAGAGAAACACACAGTATTTGACTTATGTAGAATACAAAGCATGAAATCACCAAATCAAATAACTAAATTGAGCAGATGCTGTTTATCGCATACACATTCTGTATAGATAAATGTCTTTGCAAAGTGAAAACACAAGCAGTAAGAATACAAAAGTATAACTCATAAACTTAATAGTAGGACTGATCGAGGCCAACAAATGATTGATACACATCCCTAGTGTGGGGGAAGCTTCTGTGTAGCAATGCAGGAGGAGTCACCGACTCAAAGGAGACACGGGGAGAGCTGGAGCTTTGCTGTCAAACACTGATGGGTTATTTGGAGCTTCGGCCGGAGAATTCACAAAACAAGTCCAAGAGCCAGAGGTTCTGACTTCACGGGAGAGCTGCCACGTAAATTCTGAAGAACTCTACCCAGACCCATGTATTTAGCTAGTTCAGAGAGAATAATCAACATGCTACATAACAAGATAGAATCATAACACCGCTATCAGCTGACGCCAACAGGCAGGAACAGGGAGACAGAACACTGAGAGCACAGCAGCCAAGGTTACAGGTGCGTGTGCTCAGTCAGGACAGTTTGAACTGATCAACTGGGTCAAAGTTATGGGCCTTGGAAAATATTTCCCCAACACCTAGTTTCCGTTCCATACTCAGTGGAACTACAATGGTTGTATGTAAATACACTGGCACTTCACTGACATCTTTTTTTCTTTTTGTATAGTTAACTGCAATTACTTATTTTTTACCACCCAGATGTCAGCCTATAATGCTGTAAACCAACATTGAAATATTATCCCTTACATAAAAGCATATAAAGTTGTTATGGTAAACTTGTCATCAAGCAGACTTCTATCTACACTTCCACCAATACCTGAGAGACATATCTGTCTCTAGCTGCTAAATTCAACACCATGTGCACTATATGGACTAATTCATGTTTTCCCAATGATCAACCCTTGTTAACTGATCATTGAAAGGAGAAAGGAAAGGAGGTTGGTGTGTGTGATTTGATGTTGCTCTCCCCTTCACACAACAACATCCTGAAGGTCACTTGTAATGCAGGTGAAGAGGTGACGGGTCTAGTTTAGGGGAGCAGGGCATGTGCACAACATATATATTTTAAATAAATATCCTGGAATGAATTAATAATAAAGAAAACAATAAAACATTTTATACATATTTCTCAGTACTTTAATGCTTTACAATGAAACAAAAACATTGCATATACGCATCGAAACAAACATACTGAAATGATAAACACCAGATGCTAAGGTCCTAACCCGCAGACATGAAATTAAAATGACACACAAATAAGTGTGTATATGCCAATATGTTGAACTGTTCTGTTACCGTTATATTTGTATTCAGCTTTATTGTTTTGATCCCCACAGCAGGCTTTTAAAACAACATGTTAAAATGTCAAAATGTCTCATTAGGTGTTAAACACACTGTTTATTCCCCGTGACCTTTCTGCACCAATGCTAAATGGAGCGCAGGTTAATTGAAAATGGTCCTGACCTGAGCAGTCTGCATGCAGCTGCTGTAGAACAACTACCGGCTGTATACCATCTCTGTAGGAGTAATAACACTGACAAAGGAGTTATTATTCTTGTGTTTGGTTCCTGATTTATTTAAAGGTGCCTTTTTATCAGTCTTCTCCTCACACTGTATCTCCTGTCACAGTACCAAAGTACATGACCCCGGATTTTAATAATATCCATTGAATGACTCTATGTCTGAATTCCTGTTGTTTCCTTGCTGTCTCACTTGCATGGCACACTATATTAACTTACAGAAAATACTTACATGTACTTTCAATCAATCAATGTTTATTTACTGTATATAGCCCAATATCACAAATGTTACATTTGTCTCAGTGGACTTCACAGTTTGTACAGAATATCAGTATGACAATACGACACCCTCTGTCCTTAGACCCTCACATCGTACAAGGAAAAACTTCCGGAGAAAACCCACAGTTTAAAGGGGAACATGGGAGAAACCTCAGGGATAGCAACAGAGGAGGGATCCCTCTCCCAGGACGGAGAGACGTGCAATAGATGCCGTGTGTAAATTGAAGAGATAATACATTTACAGCGTAGGTAGACCAAATGTTTGGAAATGCATGTGTCTATAATAAGAAGATGAATCCACGAGGATATCCATCCAGGACTTATGATCCAGGGCCACAGCAACAGGCACAGCCACGACTCAAGATCCAGGGCTCGCAATCCANAACTACATTTTAGCATTTAAAATACCTAGCCATTCTTTTGAGGTTATTTTGGTAAAGTAACTCAAAAGTAATATAAAAGTAGTGTAGCTCATTACATTTCAGAGGAAATGTAATGAGCTACACTACTTTTATATTACTTTTGAGTTACTTTACCAAAATAACCTCAAAAGAATGGCTAGGTATTTTAAATGCTAAAATGTAGTTTAGTGCAGCTCATTATACATCCAGTGAAGGGCAATGTGGTATAGCATAACAACTGTGTAGGCCATTAAGGCCCCGGCCACACGAGGACGCATACGGCTAAACGCATAGGATTAACGCAAACGCAATCGCAAAAAAGCTTCCCTCCACACGCAACAGGCGCTTTCACACCGCAGTACTTTTCTCACAAAGTTTCATGAGAACTTAGTTCATCAGAACTCTTTAGTTCTGATGAACTAAGTACAGATCGCGTTCACACCGGAATAAGTCCCTGGGGGTGGATTAGGCAAATGAAGCCGCTGACGTCACTTCTTCTTCTGCTTTGGGTTTACTGGCAGGCCGCAAAAAACTTCACAATTACATTTTTGGGATTTAGTATGTATAGAAGCTGCTGGGACTCCCAGCAGCTTCTACTGAAGCCTTCCGAGTAAATCGCCAGAACGCCGACACCTCTTCATCTCCACCGCTCCCATGTTTTATTTTGTGTTGCCATATAAATTAGTCTCTCTGCGTTTCTGCGCTGGGCTAATGCTAATGCTAATAATGCTAATGCGAGGACAATAAAATGGTGGCTTCACAACACTTTTTTTGAGTTTTACGGGGCGTGGTTTGCAATCCGCCCAGCCAATCAGAAATATAGCTCTTTTCTCACAAGAGAGCCGCATGAGAGTCCCTGCTCTCTAGCAGGGACGGAAAAGGGGGTAAAAAGGTTCTCATGNAAATGAAATAAATAAATAAATAAAATAAATAAATAAACGTAATTAAATACAATTAAATACAATTAAATTAATTAATTAAATAAATACAAATACATTAAATTGAATACAAATAAACAAATTTAATTAATTAATAAAAAAGTGCCACATTAAATAAAAACAAATATATATTCAAAAATATGTATAAGTTCCGCTCCCTAGCTAATGGGAGGTGAAGGGAGGGGAGAAAGTCTTACTTTTAGTACTTTATGCCACCATTTTTTACTTTACATTTTACTTAATTTATCCCTTGGGGGGAATTGGGTCTCCTAACAGAGGCTACATTTTTCACTAAAGTTAAATGTAATAAATAAGATAACATTTCAAGCAATAATACTGAGTCAAATCTAATGTTCACATTTAAAGTAAACATTTCAGTCTTCTCAGTGCAGTGTGACAGCAGCCATGTATTGCAGAGTTATCACAGATTGCGTTGCAGTATTTGAATAGTCTGACTAAGTGACAGAAAGGGGAATACAAAACAAAAATGTACAAAGATAGAGAGGCTGGAAAGAGGGGACTAGAGGAAAGGGAGTTAGAGCAGGGAGAGGGAGTGGGAGGAAGAAAGAGCGAGCGAGGGTGGGAGGAGGCGCAGTGTGGGGGGAGAGAGAGGGAACGAGAGAGGGAACGAGAGAGAGAGAGAGAGAGAGATAGAGAGAGAGAGAGGAAGCCTCCACTGCTTCTGAGCCAGTGAGACGTATGCAGCCGGAGAGGGAGGACGGAGGGAGAAAGAGGGAGGCGATGGCATCTCCAAAAGCCGGCCACATGAGGGGGTGAGGGGCTCGAGAGCAATACATTGGGAGGAGAAGAATAAGGGGGGGAGATAGAAAAGGGAGGTTGGATCAGAAGCAGCAGGAGAAGCTCTATTTAAATACCAGGTATCATTGTTATTAAGAGGTTTGGAAAGTTTGGATGGCAAAGATTGGTTCATGGAAAAAGAGGAGGAAGCTCTCGTTGTTCCTTCTTCTTCTTCTTCTTCTTCTTGTGTTCTGTGAGGAGGCACCATGTTCTCTGACAGCCGGGCTCCAGCACCGGGGGAGCAGAAAGCCTTCAAGCCCCCCCACGCCCCTCACTTCATCCCCTGGCTACGCAACAGCCTGAAGCCCCAGCATGGCGGCGGCGAACTCAACGGACCGTACAAACTGGGCAGCAACAACCGGACCCCGCTGGAGAAAACCAAGGGGATCGGGTTCTTCTCCAAGAAGGGGGATGTTCGGTGCAGTAACGGGGTGTCGAGGATGCTTCCCGTGGTTCTTCGGGGCCACAACATCCTGAAGCAGAGAGAGGACAGTCCTGCGAGGTGGACCCAGTCTCCAGAACTGCATCCACTACCCAGTAAAGAGGACACTTCTTCGGGTACGATCTCCACTTCTGTCCAGGACAACCACACTTTTGTGAGGAACCACCTGAGCGAAGGGACTCCAGTCCGGAAGTACGGTCCTCTAGTAAGACCCACTCCTGCTCCTGTGATCGAGGAGCCGAACTGTAACAAGGGGCCCGTTGTGGTGGACTTAGAGCTCAGGAGGGGGTATGCATCCACACTCCGTCACAGGAGAGACCTCCACTCTTCCAGTTGGGCGAGTCCGGACACTCAGATCGAGAGACTGCATGGCTTCACCTCCAGCTTCAGCTACATCCAGCAGCAGAGCAAGAGCCAGAGGGACCTCAGGGACCCGTCTGAGGGCTTCAACGGGCCCCTCAACAGGGTCATCTTCTCCACAGAGGTTCCTCAGAGGGGCGCCGCGACTCTACGAGCTCCCAGGAAGCCTCGACCCGGCGTGGAGAGCGTGG